GACGACCACACTTGTGAGGCCTGCCGTCTCGGCAAGCATGTTCATCTACCCTTTAGTGCGTCCATCACTATTTCCACTTTTGTGTTTCAATTACTTCATAGTGATGTTTGGACATCTCTAGTTGCAAGTAAAACGGCTATCTCTATTATTTGGTGATTTTCGATGATTTCTCTCATTATGTGTGGACATTTACTCTTCCTCGCAAATCCGATGTCTTAGCCACACTCACAGCATTTTATTCCTATGTCATCACAAAATTCGGTCGCCCCATACTTGCACTCCAAACCAATAACGGAAAATAATTTGACAATGTTGCCGTTCGGGATCTTCTTGCCCCTCACGGCACCATTTTCCGCCTAACCTGCCCCCACACTTTACAGCAGAATGGCCGTGCTGAGCGCATCCTACGCACTCTCAATGATTGCGTTTGCACATTACTCTTTCACTCTAATGTCCCTCCTAGGTTCTGGCCTGATGCTCTCGCCACCGCCACTCTTCTTCTTAACATTCGACCGTGTTGTCCCCATTGGAACTATGCCCCTCACCACCTCCTCTTCGGCATGCCTCCCTCATATGATGGCCTTCACAGATTCGGGTGTTTGTGCTATCCTAGCATCGCGTCCACCGCCCCCCACAAACTCGTACCACGATCACTTCCTTGCATCTTCCTTGGCTACCCTCCCAACACCAAAGGTTACCAGTGCTATGACCCCATTTTCCACCGTGTGTACACCTCACGGCACGTGTACTTTGACGAGAGGGTATTTCCTTTCACCAGGTACCACCATCTACAGCGCCTTCAGCGGAGTCGCTCGCTGCACCCCCAGCATGGCGCGCGGCCCAATCGCGGCCCAATCCCGCCCCTCCGGTTTAGCGACTGCTCCCTACTTCACCAATGGTCGCGACTCCCTTTGCAGCCTCTTCCGGTACCGCTGCCGTGGTCGAGCCGGACCAGGCGTCTCCCTCAGGTGCCTCGGCCAGCGTCTCTTCCTCTGGACCGGTGAACGATGAAGTCATGGCGGCCGCCTCTGTCGGCACCCCTGCTGGCTTTGCTGCTGTCGGCGCCGCTGCTGGCTCCGCTGGCGCTGCAGCCACTATCGTCGCTGGCGCTACTGGCGGCGCTGCTGCCGCTGGCTCACCTGCCAGCCCCTCTACGACGGGCTTGACTCCACCCTCGCCCGTCGCTATTAGCCCGCTCCGGCTGCTGTACCGCCTCTTGGCGTGACGACACGGGCCCGGGTCGGTGTGCATCGGCCGAGTACGCGCTACACTTCAGAGGAGTATGTGTGTGCCGCTTCGACATCGACACCATCACCCATTTCCTCCTCCACTCACCCAGCCCTTCGCGATCCTCATTGGCTTGCGGTGATGCGGGAGGAGTTCGACGCATTCCAGCGCAACCGTATGTGGCATCTTATTCCGTAGCCTCCCCATGCTAACGTCATCAGTGGCAAGTGGGTGTTCCGCCAGAAGACACACCCTGATGGTTCTCTCGAGTGCAACAAAGCTCGTTGGGTGGTTCGCGGATTTCGACAGCGTGCCGGTGTGGACTTCACCGACACTTTCACCTCGGTTGTCAAAATAGGCACGATCCGCACCGTCCTTCAGTTGGCGGTCTCTCGCGCTTGGCCTGTGCATCAGTTGGACGTTTCCAACGCCTTTCTGCATAGGCACCTTGTAGAGCAAGTGTATTGTCAGCAGCCCACCGGTTTCATCGACGCTGAGCATCCACATCACATGTGCTTGCTCTCCCGTTCTCTCTATGGGTTGAAGCAGGCGCCACGAGCATGGTACCAGCGTATCGCGGCCTTCCTCCTGTAGCTTGGCTTTCAGTCCACCCGCTCCGATGCTTCACTCTTCGTTTATCATCAGGGTGCTGCCACTGGGTACCTTCTGCTCTGTCGATGACATCATCCTGACGGCATCTTCAACTGAGCTTCTCCAGCAGCTCACGAGTCATCTCCGGGACGAGTTTTCCCTCAAGGATTTGGGAGCTATGCATTACTTCCTTGGCATTGAGGTCGTTCGCCGTGCCGACGGGTTTTTCTGCATCAGCAGAAGTATGCTCATGAGTTGCCCGAGCGAGTGGGTATGCTTAACTGCAAGCCCGCCCCCACACCTGTTGACACCAAGGTGGAGGTCTTTGCCCTGGAGGGCTCTCCTGCGCCCGACGTTGTGTTCTATCGCTCCATCGTCGGTGCCCTCCACTATCTGACACGCACCTGCCCGAACCTGCAGTATGCAGTGCAGCAGGTGTGCCTTCACATGCACTCCCCCGTGATTCTCACTGGACTCTGGTGAAACGTACTCTTCGATACATACGTGACACTATGACATTGGGTCTCACCCTGAAGGCTTCGGCCTCCATCGACATTGTTGCCTACTCCGATGCCAACTGGGCTTGCTGCCCCAACACTCGCCGTTCTATGTCAGGCTGCTGTGTCTATCTCGGGCCCTCGCTAATTTCATGGCCGTCCAAGCGACAACCCATGGTTTCTGGCTCGAGTGTCGAGGCAGAGTATCGGGGAGTGGCTAACGACATTGCCTAGTGCTCTTGTCTCTGTCAGTTGCTCCAGGAGTTGCTTTGTGAGGTTCACAAAGCCACGATCGACTACTGCGACAATGTCTCTGCCGTTTACCTCCCCGCCAACCCTATTCATCATCGCTGCACGAAGCATATCGAGCTTGATATACACTTCATTCGAGAATAGGTGGCGCTCGGGAGGATTTGGTTCTACACGTGCCTACCGTTCAGCAGTTCGCCGATGTTATGACAAAGGGACTACCGACCACAATCTTTGAGGAGTTTCGGTCCAATCTCTGCGTCTCCAATGACACTTCGACTGTGGGGGGGTGTTGAACATATGTTGTCTGTTATATATGTATAGGACTAGGGTCTTGTATTTATACCGTTGTATCTCCTCTCTCTCCTCTCTGTATATTTGTACATCTTGGGAGACAAGTAGAGGCTGGTCCACCCTGTACCTATATATGTACATCATGCACACAATCAATGAATTATCGATGCATGCAATTCTTTTCTTCCTAACTTACATGGCTCTTTCATGCATCACTAATTTCTGCAGATATATGTCCATGTTTCTTGTTTGTATGGGTAACTTTTAAGAAAGTTGTGCAAATAATTTGTATGTTATGGTTTATGACATTGTTTGGGAGCACACCCCTAGTGGCATTTACTAGGTGAAGTCCGCTAGAGAGATCAATTTCAAGGCACCATCCAGCAAGGGTGGTTAGTGATCTGATCTTAAAAAAAGTCCTTGGCGCCGCCAAAAGTGAAAATTTTCATTTAGTTGGTCATTCAAAATAGGATTTGGACTTGCGTATAGATTGGCCAAACGTGGGCGGCCGAACTATAGCCTATGCCCGCTATGCAAGTGTATAGGAGTCAATGGACCACCTCCTATACAAGTGTCAGTACACAACTAGATTATGAGGCATGATCAAAGACTGGCTGCAACCTGGGAGCATTGATACTAGAATCTTGGTGGGTTGGTCTTTCTGACGCTAGCATCCCAAACTGCAAGACTGTTGCCTTGCTTGCTAGGCTCACCTCTTGGGCCATTTAGAATGAAAGTAATGCATGAGTGTTTTGCTAGAAGAGCGCCCCACCGGCAATCCTTCTCCATGAGATTAAACAAGAGGTGGTGCTTTGGGTAGTTAAGGGTGTTAAGAAATTGGAAGAAATCATGCTGGGAGAACTGTATTAGGGGGTGTTGTAACACTAAAAACTCTATTCTATTCTCTTTAATTAATACTAGTAAGCTTGCACGTGTAACACACGTAATCTTAGAAATTTCATTGATGTTATGATTATCCAACCTTGGACCTGTGCAAGAAAGGCATACCAAATATGCTCTTTTTGTCAACATTTGTTAGATGTTCAAAACATCATAAGCAACTTGACAAATCATAGCAGAAAATAAAAACATATTCCCCTCGTAAAGAAATATAAGAGCATTTAGATCACTATATTTCTTTACAGAGGGAGTACTATCTTAAACTAAAAAGCTATATGTGAGGCGATGCCCAGTTTCACCAGTTGGTCTCTTATCATGTGTCTTGAAAATTGAAAACATCATTGTTCCAAAATATCCTTCACTATTTAACAAAATATTCAGGAAATCACAAGTACAATGACATGTGTAAAAAAGCACAGGGCACTACCACCCTTGACTCATACGTTTGCACTTCAGCAACATGAATAAACCATAAAAGATCAAGAAGGCGGTACTCCATCCCACCACATCATGCAAATTGCTATTTTCGATAGTATTTGATGATATCTAAGGGCATCTCCTCCAGATTCATCAATATCATCGACAAAATAAGTCTGATAAGAGTGATATGATCCACACCAGCCTTGCTGCAAAAAAGCGGAAAGAGTTTTACTTTCCAAATACCATGCCATCTACACAAAGTCAAACTAATAGACTAACAACAATATATTCATACATTGCAATTCACCTTGCTACTGTTGCTATCTCAATCAAAGAGTTTTTGCACATGATAGTAACCATGCTCCTTAGGTTTCTTCTATGCACGATATCTACCCTGTAAACATTTGTCGCTCCTTGCTACTCTATATGCTGAAGCTAATCCCATACTCAGATCTAATATGCTTTCTGCAAGCCCTATGAATCTATATGTGTTGACATATACTACAAGCTAAAATGGTACTCAGTCAAGTCACATTAAGATGCAATTCGTTCTGCAAGATTGTTTAGTGAACTGCTCCTAGCAATCTATTCTACATGCATTTACAAGCAACCCTAAGGGATCAATAAGTCCACAACCTAAATATAGCATACACTACGAAGGTGGTTAACAAAATAAGTAGATACAGTTACTCACTCAAGCTCAATAAAAATCTTCTCGTGATTCTCAGTATGGAACACATCATGTCAGTATCTTTACAATATTGGTAGTCAGTAGCAGCCTCTAATTCAACAATACCAGCCCGCAACTCAACAAGTGTTTACTCATGGCATCTATCTATTTGAAAAAATATAATGACATCAGCATAAAAATGACTTCAAAATATGGATAATCTTGCATTGCAAGAGGGCGTGACCCGATAGTGCCAACAAAAAAAAGAGGACACAACCTGAAATCTTTCTGCACTTGAATATAAAGAAGATTGAAGTGTCATCTGCAGAAATAGCAACATGTTGATCAGTAAAAATAACTTCAACGGAAATCAAATGTGAGGAACTGAAAATGGCTAATACAAAAATGAACAGTCCCAACATGTATAACTAACAAACAAAATGGCGGTGGAAAACCATAATAATAGTTAAGTCGTGCGTTAACACTGTAAAAAGAAATTTACAAGATAAAAGAAGAAGTATCAAAGGCTTCATCAGAATTTAAAGGTTGCCCAATTTTTTTCCCGAATGCACAAGAGAATTGCATGTCATTCCATAAAGATAGAAAGAGACAATCCAGCATACATTGAGAATTACATGGGAACACGTCGGTCTAACCGCGGAAAAATTAAATTCGTAAATGGGTTCCCTTTACTCCATGTTAGATCAGGGACCATTATGTCTGAGTCCAACATTCTTCCAAATGATGTTCGTGACCAGTTTTCACTTTCTCCCATCCACTTCGAAAGAACCGACGAAGATATACTACAAGTCATCCATCATAGGTCATGATTAAAAATAACAGAGTATATATATAAATGATAAAAAAAGCATTCCTTATGCTATGGAAGAATGCACTATAATGGAACAAGAACCAGAATAATACACAAGTAATCATAAACAGAGAATTGATTTAGGATTGCAATTCAACATTTTCTTTTGAGAAAATTATCATTGTAATCTGTCTCTGTTTGTCGGGGGTTGGGTGCGACATATGCCAATGGATGGCTTATCATGGTGGGAGCGAGTAGAACATCGCCGGTGCCTGGAAGCGGGATAAGGCGTGGACACGAACGCCGGCGTACTTTACCCAGGTTTGGGGCTCTCCTAGGAGATAACACCCCTAGTCCTGCTCTGCGGGGTCTCCGCATGATCACTAAGGCACAAGTGATACAATGGTGCTCCTTGAGCTGTGTGCTAGAGGCAGAAGGAGGCAAGGCTAGCTCTCTTCCTGCTCTAGGGGACTGGCTAGTTCTAATGGAGTAGGAACCCTTTGCATGGGTGGCCTGGGGGGTTTATATAGGCCTACCCCCAGGGGCACAATGGTAATCTGGACGGCTGCTGGACCCGTCTGTCAGTGTCCCCAGCCTCTGGCTTCTCCGCCGACCGCTAGGGCCCGCCGCCTGTTGGGCCCCGCCGACTAGTTGGTGGCTGCTTACTGTAGCCGTGTCGTTGGTGATGGGGGCTTGGTCATCTTAGCGTGGCTACAGTCCCGCCGCCTGGCGGGAGGCCACTGTAGCCACACCTGGTCTTATCAGCTTAATGGTGTTATCGCTTCAGGACAAGGGACGGCCACCTGCTGGAGGCCGGCCCCTCTCGAATCCGCCTGGTCGAGATTCCGCCATCTTCCTTAGGGTCACTGCCCGATAGGGCCCGCCTCTGGCAGGCCGTCCGGACAGGTCGTCGTGGGGAACAGGGCTCCGCCTGCCCGGAGTGATGTCAGGGTAAATTCGGCACAGTGCTCCGTCGTGCGGAGATCTCCGTCTGTACGGAGCACTGTTGCCACACCCATCTCGAGCGTGGGAGGCGACGTGCTTCACTGTAGCCATGCTTTGACTTGTACTCTTGATGGGGGCTCGGCCGCACCATAGTCGTGAGGTGGCCGCCTGCCCGTTGCCGCCCTCTCTGGAAGGCGGGCGCCAGGAGCCGGTCACCCGGAGCGCCGTAGACTTGGGTCGGCCGCCCTCTGGCAGCCGGCCGCTAAGCCAGCCGGCCCCAGAGGGTGGAGCCTCAGCTCGGGGTCCAGCCAGGCAGAGCTGGCCCAAAGTCTTGATAAAACCAGGGACTCGGGTGAGCCTACCCGTGGCCCATTACTCTGACAGTAGTCCCCGAAGCCGGTGAGGCACCACGGTCGAGGGGCTGCGAAGCCTCAGCGGCTTCCTCCCTCACTGGGCTCCGGGAAGGTGCCGGCCCGCCATGCGGCCAGCCGACTGCCGAGGCCGACTTCTTCCAGGCGGAGCCTGTACGATAGGTTTTTGAACTTCAAGGCGGGAGGTAGGTGGCGTGCCTGCTAAGCTTCCCAGGCCACCGCCCGCCACGGACGCTCCACGCGGCGCACGTCAGCCTGGTCAGCCTGCCGCCCCACGTTCTGGATGGGACGTGACACTGGACCGGGCCTGCCACTACCGTGCCTCGGCAACCGGGCGGATCCACTGCACCGAAGGGGATGGTTGCCATTCCCCACGATTATTTACGGTGTGGTGAATGTGCGTGGGAAACGGGGGGTCGTGGGGACATGGGCGCAGTTAATCCCACGACCCCATGTCCCGCCCCCTCGGCTTCATATCCCGGGCGCTATAAGTAGGGAGGGGGGAGAGGTGCGGCAAGCTCACGCGCCCCCTCCCACTCTTCTTCTTCTTCTTCTTCCATTGTTGATGCTGTCGTAGTGCCGCCGTCGTTGCCCGCCGCTGACACGTTTCTCCTCCCCGCGCCGCCAGCCAGAGCCATGGGCGACTGGGATGGATCGACCGTGATCGAGGATCACATCTCCTTCCTCCGCGACACGAGCCGGATGCCCAGCGCGGCCTTTGTCAAGGCGCGGGTGCCGCCGGAGACGGAGATCTCGCCGGTGCCGCAGGAAGGCGAGCGGGTCGTCTTCCGCTCGCATTTCCTCCGCGGCTTCGGCCTTCTGGTGAGCGACTTCTTCCGCTCTTTCCTCAACTTTTACAACCTTCAGCCTCACCACCTCACGCCCAACACCGTGACTCTGCTCTCCGCCTTCGTAACGGCATGCGAGGGCTACCTCGGCATCTTCCCCACAATCGAGTTGTGGGGAGCATTCTTTTATGGGAAGCTCGGCACCTCCGCCAAGGAGACGGCAGCCGAGTGCGGGGGCTTTGTCGCCGTGCGTCGGCCGGCGAAGCGGAACGCCTTCCCCGTCATCAAGCTGGCGCAGTCGGTGAAGATGTGGCAGCAGTCTTACTTCTACGTCGAGAACATGGACCCAGCTGCCGACTTCCTCAACCTGCCGGCCTACGAGGCCGGCCCCCCACCGGAGCTCGCACTTCCTGGAAGTATAAACTGAAGCCGGTGTCGGCAAACGCGGCGGCCGCCATCGGCCGACTCTGAGTGCTCCAGGAGTCGGAGGGCCTCGTGGCCTCCGACCTCCTCGTCGCCTTTGTCGAGCGCCGGGTCCTCCCACTCCAGAGCCGCCCTCATCCGATCTTCCAGATGGGCGGACACCGCGATCTGTGACGGCTGTACACGAAAGGGATGCCGCCCGCTGAAGTTTCGCGGATGGTAAACGAGATCTCCGACCTCAAAATGTCAGAGAAGGAGTGGCGGTACGGGAAGCGGCCATACTCTCGCCACAACCCTCCTCCCGCTGTAAGTTTCTTCTTTTTGTCCTTTGAACTGTTTCCTTCAGCTTCGTTTCTTTTTATGACGCCGCCCTTTCTTGGTTGCAGATTTACATGTCCGAGGCAACGGCCGCCCTCCTGGGGCCGGGTGATGCCCTCCAGGGGGACAGGGCGGAGAGCGATTTGGACGACCCTGACTTGGGGGCGGCCGCCCTGGCTGACGATGCGACAGGCGGCGGTGGCAGGGCTGACGGAGGTAGTGGAGCAGGCGGCTCCGAGGGAGGCGGCGGCGTAGAGACTTGGCCTGACGACGACGAAGACGAAGACGAGCCGTGCCCCGCCCGGAGCTCCGCCACCACTGGCGCCGGCCCCTCTTCTGGACCGCCCACTCCAGGCGGCAAGCGCAAGCGGAAACAGGGCTTGACCCTGTTCGGCAGCGCTCCAAAGAAGCCCAAGAACCCGGCCGCGGTGACCAGGCGGAAAGAAACCGCGGCCAAAATGGCCCAATATCAGAGGCAGCCGAAGGTGCCTGTTATGGTGTCGACGTAAGTATCCTTCCCTTTCTCCTTGTCTTTTCGTCAATCTGGCGTGAAAGCCTTCCGACTTGTCTCCTTGTTTCAGGGCCCCACTAACCCTCGAGAAGTCGGGCGCCGGCTCGGTCCTCAGGTCGGTGGCGACCTCCTCGACCAGTTGGCGCATCGACCCGACCGCCAACCTCCGGGAGGCGATAGAGCGGAACGCGTGGGAGGCGCGCGAGGAAGAGGCTGAGCGCCTGGCCAGGGAGCAGGCGGCCTTGTCCGCTGCGTCTGCTGAAAGGGCGCTGGCGCAGGCGGAGGCCCAGGCCGCGGAGAAGGAGTGGCTCGCGGAGGCCGTACGCCGCCAAGAGCCGCTGCTCGTGGCGCCCCTGAACACTGCGCCGCCTCCGCCTGAATTTGAGGCGACGCCCGGAGGAGCTGGTGGTGACTTCCCGATCCGGGAGCAGGGGAGCGGCGACGTAGCCATGCCGGATGTCTTCGTGTCGCCGCCCCCGCCCCCGCCGCCTCCGCCAGCCAGCGAGCCGCAGGACGAGTAGCCAGTGGCGCCTCCGGTGCCGCCGGTCGAAAATACGGTGGTAACGGTCCTTGTTCCTTCGGTCCGCATCCCCACGCGCCGCTATCTGGAGAAGGCGGCCTCAGCACCGCGGCCGCAGGAGATCGGCGCCACGAGCTCGTCGGCCCCCAATACTGAGGCGACCAGCGCCGCGCCCGTGGGTTGGATACACGGGGGCGGGACTGGCGCCTTGAACTAGGCATCTCTTGTCGTCTAGGCCAAGCTCCGGGCAGAGGCGGAGGCGCTCAAGCGCTGCAACGAGGCTTACTTGGAGTCGCGCACCGCCATCCGGGTAAGTTGTCTTTGGGTTTCTTCTTCGGATGGTCCTCTTGCTTCTCTTGTGGGGGCGTGCAAGCGCACCCACTGGGTGTGGTCACCAAGTTCTGGGCCAGCTGCTGAGCAGGCGGGTCGGAACTTTAACTTGCAATTTGTCGACTGCTGACTTCATCTAGTGTCTTTTCTGCAGGACTATCATAATCTCCGCGCGACCGCCTACAGCTCCAAGGTTTGGGAGCTGGAGATGCAGACGGCCCATCTGGCCGAGAGCCGGTGAGGGAGTCCCAGACTAGGGGGTGTCCGGATAGCCGAACTATCATCATCGGCCGGACTCCAAGACT